TGAGAGAGAAGTGGAATTCTCTATAGATTTGATTCCTGGTACGAGACCGGTGTCGGTGGCACCATATCGTATGTCTGCGTCTGAGTTGGCTGAATTGAAGAGTCAGTTGGAAGATTTACTGAAGAAGAAGTTTATTCGTCCAAGTGTTTCGCCTTGGGGTGCTCCGGTATTGTTGGTCAAGAAGAAAGAAGGTTCTATGAGACTGTGTGTTGATTACAGGCAATTGAACAAGGTAACCATTAAGAATCGGTATCCGTTACCGAGAATTGATGATTTAATGGATCAGCTAATTGGAGCCAGTGTATTCAGTAAGATTGACTTGAGATCTGGATATCATCAGATTCGTGTGAAAGCAGAAGATATTCAAAAGACTGCTTTTCGAACGAGGTATGGGAATTATGAATATTCTGTTATGCCGTTCGGAGTTACTAATGCACCTGGTGTTTTCATGGAATATATGAATAGGATTTTTCATCCGTATCTGGATAAGTTTGTTGTGGCTTTTATTGATGACATTCTGATTTATTCCAAGAATGACGAAGAGCATGCGGAACATCTCAGAATTGTGTTAGAGTTGTTGAAAGATAAGAAGTTGTATGCAAAGTTGTCCAAATGTGAGTTCTGGCTGAATGAAGTTAGTTTTCTTGGACATGTGATTTCTAAGAATGGTATTGCAGTGGATCCTACAAAGGTAGAAGCAGTATCTCAGTGGGAAGCGCCGAAGACTGTTTCTGAAATCAGAAGTTTCCTTGGTCTTGCAGGTTATTACAGAAAGTTTATCGAAGGATTCTCAGAGTTAGCATTGCCGTTGACGAAGTTGACTCGAAAAGGACAAGCGTTTATTTGGGATTCTGATTGTGAGAAAGGTTTCCAAGAATTGAAGCGGAGATTGACTAGTGCTCCTATTCTGATTTTGCCGAATCCGGTGGAATCTTTTGTGGTCTATTGTGATGCATCTCTGTTGGGTCTAGGTGGTGTTTTAAGGCAGAATCAACAGGTAGTTGCGTATGCTTCGAGACAGTTGAAGGTTCATGAAAGGAACTATCCTACTCATGACTTAGAGTTGGCAGCAGTTGTGTTTGTCTTGAAATTGTGGAGACATTATCTGTATGGTTCGAGATTTGAAGTGTATAGTGATCATAAGAGTTTGAAGTATCTTTTCGATCAGAAAGAGCTCAATATGAGGCAGAGGATGTGGTTGGAATTTCTTAAAGATTATGATTTTGGGTTGAATTACCATCCTGGTAAGGCAAATGTGGTTGCAGATGCTTTGAGCAGGAAATCCTTGCATATGTCTATGATGATGGTTCGTGAATTGGATTTAATTGAACAATTCCGAGATTTGAGTTTAATTTGTGAAAGTACTCCGAATTGTGTTCGTTTGGGTATGTTGAAACTTACTAGTGGTATTCTAGAAGAGATCAGGATCGGGCAGAAATCTGATGTTAGTTTAGTTGATAAATTGACATTGATCAACCAAGATCAAGGTGGTGAGTTTAGAATTGATGAAAATGATGTTATGAGATTTGGCGATAGAGTTTGTGTTCCTGATGTCGTAGAAATCAAGAAGAGTATATTAGAGGAAGGACATCGCAGTGGGATGAGTATTCATCCGGGTGCCACAAAAATGTATCATGATTTGAAGAAATTGTTTTGGTGGCCGGGAATGAAAAAGGAAATAGCTGAATTTGTGTATGCATGTTTAATCTGTCAAAAATCGAAGATTGAGCATCAGAAGCCGTCTGGAGTTATGCAGCCGATGTTTATTCCAGAATGGAAGTGGGATAGTATTTCTATGGATTTTGTATCCGGGTTGCCGAGGACTCCTAAGAATTGTGAAGCGATATGGGTTGTTGTGGATAGACTGACTAAGTCTGCTCATTTTATACCGGTGCGAATGGATTACTCAATGGAGAGACTGGCACAGTTATATATTGAGAAAATAGTGAGTTTGCATGGAGTTCCTTCTAGTATTGTGTCAGATAGAGATCCGAGATTCACTTCGAAATTTTGGGAAGGATTGCAGAAGGCTTTGGGTACTAAATTGAGGTTGAGTTCAGCTTACCATCCTCAGACTGATGGACAGACGGAGAGGACAATTCAATCGTTAGAAGATTTATTGCGTGCTTGGGTTTTAGAGAAGGGTGGAGCTTGGGATAGCTATTTGCCATTGATTGAATTTACTTATAACAATAGTTACCATTCGAGTATTGGTATGGCTCCGTTTGAGGCATTGTATGGTAGACGGTGTAGAACGCCTCTGTGTTGGTACGAATCTGGAGAGAGTTCAGTAATTGGGCCAGAGATTGTTCAGCAGACTACTGAAAAGATCAAATTGATTCAAGAGAAGATGAGAGCTTCTCAGAGTCGTCAGAAAAGTTATCATGATAAGAGGAGAAAGAATTTAGAATTCAGTGCTGGAGATCATGTGTTTATGAGAGTTACTCCGATGACGGGTATTGGTCGAGCGTTGAAATCTAAGAAGTTGACTCCGCGTTTTATTGGTCCGTTTCAGATTACGGAAAGAGTTGGAGAAGTTGCTTATCGTATTGCTTTACCTCCGAGACTTGCGAATTTGCACGATGTTTTTCATGTTTCTCAGTTGAGGAGATACATTCCAGACCCATCTCATGTAATCCAAATAGATGATGTACAGGTGAGAGATAACCTGACAGTAGAAACATTGCCTATGAGGATAGAAGATCGGGAAGTGAAACAGTTAAGAGGTAAAGAGATAGCATTAGTGAAGGTTGCTTGGGGAGGTCCAGCAGATGGAAATGTTACTTGGGAACTGGAGAGCCAGATGAAAGAGGCTTATCCGGAACTGTTCATCTAAGGTATGTTTTTGAGGACGAAAACTCTTTTAGTGGGGGAGAGTTGTAACACCCCAGTTTTAATTTTTAATTTATTTAATTGGGAAATTATTTTATTAGAATTAATAAAATAAAAAGAAATTATTTACTTTGGAATTTTTGAAGAAAATAAAAGAAATGAGAAATATTGGGTTTTAAGTTATTGGGCTTGGATGTTGTTAGTAAAGAGTGGGGGTGCAAAAGAAATAAAGGTATGTTTTGGAACTTAAGCTATTTTCTCATTATTCACGATAACACAAAATTGGGAAATTGGGAAGCAGAGCTCTGAAGGTACGAAGAACGAAGAACATCGATCAAAGAGTTCAAAGCTGCAAATTGATAAGGTAAGGGGGGCTAATACTCGATTTACTTTTGCTTATGGGTTTATGTACGGTTGATTTAGATAATCGTAGGGAGAACCCCAATTGTTAGATGTTACTAGGAATCGATACCCTTAGGATTGAACCTTGTTGGAAAAGGGTTAAGTTCCCAATTTTTATGAATCGATTAGGAATTTTAGGTTCCAAATGGTGGATTGGGAGTATATCTGCATGATCGTGAATTTACCTTAGAGGTTCTAGGGATAACCTCAATGTTATCAGATTTCCCCAAAAAGGACGAATAATCACCTTTAAGGTCGCTATGATACTTGTTGGTAATTAGGGAATTGATGTGTTGTTTTGAGTTATACAAAAATCGATGTCGTTAGGTACCGAAATGCGCGTTTTGGCTGCTGTTCTGAGCTGCTGCAGGTTCAGGAAAATTCTGACCCGCGCTCATCAACACGGGCCGTGTTGTTTAACACGGGCACCCGTGTTGATTCACTATGTTTCCTAAAAATGTGTTTTCCAGACACATTTCAACACGGGCCGTGTTGTTTAACACGGGCACCCGTGTTGATCCCCTGTAATGAGAAAAAATGTGTTTTCTGGGCACTTTTCAACACGGGCAGTGTTGATTTACACGGGCACCCGTGTTGATGCTGCTGTATTGATTTTCTGAAATTTGTTTTCTGTGCTTTATTGTGGATTTTATTGTCATGCTTTTAGATAATGTTATCAAGCATGAATTATGATATAACTTGATATGATTGATGTTTAAATAGTATGCTGAGTGATTACATGTTATCCATATCCTGTTATGATTGATGTTGTTGATGTTGCATGATATGTCGATTGGTGTTAATAGTATGCTGAGTGTTACATACTTTACATATCATGTTGCATTTGTTAATTCCCATTGTGTGGAATTAACATGGTGGCCAATATACGTGTCCGCGATTTAATGGAACGTTGAGGTGGTAGCCGTGTCCGCGATATAATGGAACGGTGAGTTATCCGTGACCCGAGATTTAATGGGGCGGTAAAGTGGTACCACATGCATGGGTGTGTTGCATTACATTGAATATAACATGAATGGATGATTTTCCAATGTTGTATTTAATTGATTGTATGCATGTATGGTTGCTAAATTGTTAGCGATGTTTGATGTTAATTACAAATGTGAAACGTAATATATTATGAATATATGAATTGAGAAGATTTATATAAACTATAGAACATGCTAACTGTTTTGGGTGATGCTGATGGTTTTCTAAATTGATTGTTATGAACGTATAATCAAATGTATAATTGAGGTGCTCACCCTTACTGTTGAATATTTCAGATTGAGGAGCTTCGTTCAGGTGCTTGGCGAAGGCTTGTCATTTCTAGTTTATTTCCGTTTTAGTATTGTCTGGGTCATGCTCTGGTAGTTGTAACTCCGGGAACGTTTGTTTGTCGAGCTGTTTTAGTCAGACTCGTTTATTCCCTTACATTTGTTATAATATGATGTTGACATTTTTCCAGGTGTTAATCCCTGATGATTTTGTTAATATTATAACATTGGTTTTATTAAATAAATTATTCCGCTGTGTAAACATGTATGAGTTACTACTATGATTATGCATGACAGGAACTTGTTTTATTAAAAGAGAGTTGTGACATCCTCGTTGATACATGTACTCTGTAAATATGATTTTAATTAATTGCGAAATTTTATTCGGGGTTTTAGAGGGTGTTACAATGGATGCATATAGCTTCCATAGACCACCAAGCATACATGCCTTATTTAAACTTGTTGGTCATTGCCAATAAATATTATATGTTCTTAATAGCATATGAATCCGGTAGGTGTTTTGCGCCCACACTTGCTGATGAGTAAGTTCAATGCATTGCTATTGCTAACTCTGATTGCTCCCAATATATTAGCCTTTATTGCACCACACATACATGCAGAGGCTTCAGAATCAGCAAGATTTTTTATGAGAGAACAACATGGTTGGTTTTGTGGAGTCCCAATTACCATACTCACTAAATTTAACAATTTTGCACAAATGTGCATGTTTCCCATAGGACAATTGGGTGGTATGGCGGGAGGTGGTGGTGTCATAGGAAGTGATGGTGGTGTGATAGGAGTAAAATTAGGTGGGGGTATTTTAGGAGTTGGTGGAGGTATAGAAGGGGGCAACATTGGGGGTGTTTTGTTAGGAGTAGATGGGGGTGTATAAGGGGGCAACATAGGTGGGGGTCTGTTAGGAGAGGTTGGTGGTATGGTAGGAGTTATTTTAGGTGGTGGGGTTAATGAAAGAGGTGATTTAGGAGTTGGTAGGGGTGTATAAGAGGGAAACATAGTTGGCGGTTTGTTAGGAGTAGGTGGTGATGTAGTAGGGGTTGTTTTAGGTGGCGATGTCATTTGAAGAGGTGGTGGTGTAGAAGGAGGAAACACATGTGGTGGTGAGGTATGGGCAGGTGGTGGTGTTGTAAGTGGAGATGTTGTGGGGTTTAACATAGGTGTTGGCACCATTAGACGAGGTGGTTGTGTAGGAGGAGGAAACATAGGTGGTGGCGGCATTTGATGAGGGGGCGGTGTAGATGGGGGCAACGCATGTGGTGGTGTGGTTGGAGTAGGTGACAGTGTTAGCAGACGAGGTGCATGTGTAGAAGGAGGAAATATATGTGGTTGTGAGGAAGGTGTAGAAGTTGTTGTTGTAGGATCTTTCATAGGTGTTGGAGAGATTTTTAGAAATGGAGGTGTTGAAGGAGGTAACATGGGTGGTGGTGTTCTTGGGGTATTTGTTGGTGTTGTAGGGCCCATTTTAGGCGGTGGGGTCATAGAACGAAGGGGCGGTGTTAAAGGAGAAAATGTACGTGGTTGTGTGGTAGGAGTATAAGATGGTGTTAGTATACGAGGTGGTGTTATAATAGGGGGAATCACATGTGATGGTGGGGTACGAGTGGGCGGTGGTGTAGAAGGATTTGGTGGTGATTCCAATGGAGTTGTCTTGGGTGGCGATGTCATCGGACGTGGAGGTCGTGTAAAAGGTGGCAAGACTGGTGTTGTTGTTATTGGAGTAGGTGGCATTGTTGTTGGAGATGTCTTAGGTGATTGTTTCTTTGGAGGTTGTGGAAGTGTATTAGGAGGCAAGGTTGGTGGTCGTGTGGTTGGAGTAGATGGGGGTGTTGTAGGTGAGGTGTTAGAAGGTGGCAAGATTGGTGTTGTTGTTGGTGGAGTAGGTGGTGTTGTTGTTGGAGATGTTTTAGGTGGTTGTTTCTTTGGAGGCTATGGAAGTGTATTAGGAGACAAGGTTTGTGGTCGTGTCGTTGGAGTAGATGGGGGTGTTGTAGGTGAGGTGTTAGAAGGTGGTAAGACAGGTGTTGTTGTTGGTGGAGTAGGTGGTGTTGTTGTTGGAGATGTCTTAGGTGGTTGTTTCTTTGGAGGTTGCGGAAGTGTATTAGGAGGCAAGGTTGGTGGTCGTGTGATTGAAGTAGATGGAGGTGTTGTAGGTGAAGTGTTAGAAGGTGGAAAGACTGGTGTTGTTATTGGTGGAGTATGTGGTGTTGTTGTTGGAGATGTCTTAGGTGGTTGTTTCTTTGGAGGTTGCGGAAGTGTATTAGGAGGCAAGGTTGGTGGTCGTGTGGTTGGAGTAGATGGGGGTGTTGTAGGTGAAGTGTTAGTAGGTGGCAAGACTGGTGTTGTTGTTTGTGGAGTAGGTGGTGTTGTTGTTGGAGATGTCTTAGGTGGTTGCTTCTTTGGAGGTTGCGGAAGTGTATTTGGAGGCAAGGTTGGTGGTCGTGTGGTTGGAGTAGATGGGGGTGTTGTAGGTGAGGTGTTATAAGGTGGCAAGACTGGTGTTGTTGGTGGTGGAGTAGGTGGTGTTGTTGTTGGAGATGTCTTAGGTGGTTGTTTCTTTGGAGGTTGCAGAAGTGTATTAGGAGGCAAGGTTGGTGGTCGTATGGTTGGAGTAGATGGGGGTGTTGTAGGTGAGGTGTTAGAAGGTGGCAAGACTGGTGTTGTTGTTGGTGGAGTAGGTGTTGTTGTTGTTGGAGATGTCTTAGGTGGTTGTTTCTTTGGAGGTTGCGAAAGTGTATTGGGAGGCAAGGTTGGTGGTCGTGTGGTTGGAGTAGATTCGGGTGTCGTAGGAGAAAGTGGTGGAGTTGTATGACTCGTATTAGGTCGTGGTGTCATTGAAGTAGGTGGCACTTTCGTAGGTGCAACATTAGGTGTTGGAACCATTTGACGAGGGGGTGGCATAAATGGTGGCAATGTTTGTGCTGGTGTGGTTGGAGTAGGTGAGGGTGTTAGCGGGCGAGGTGTATGTGTAGTAGGAGGAAATATAGGTGGTTGTAAGGAAGGAGTAGGGGTTGTTGTTGTAGGATTTGTCATAGGTGTTGGTGTGATTTGTCGAGATAGAGGTGTTGAAGGAGATAACATAGGTGGTGTGTTTGGGGGATGTGTTGGTGTTGTAGAGCCCGTTTTTGGTGGCGGGATCGTTGAACGAGATGGAGGTGTTAAAAAAGACAAGGTAGGTGGTTGTGTGGTAGGATTAAGGGATGCTGTTATTGGATGTGCTAGCGGTGCATAAGAAGGATATGTAGGTGGGGGTAAGGTAGGAGTAAGAGGCACTTTTATTGGAGCCATCTTAGGTGGCGGGGTTAATGTACGAGGTGGTGGTATAAGAAGTGGTGGTGCAGAAGGAGGCAAGGCAGGTGATTTTGTTGTAGGGGTAGATGATGGTGTTATTGAATTCGTCTTGGGTGATGGTGTCATCGGATATGGTGGTGGCAAAGTAGGTGGTGGAGTGGTAGAAGAAGGTGGTGATATTGTAGGAGTCGTCTTAGGTGGTGGCATCATAAGATATGGAGGCGGTGCAAAAGATGACCATGTATGTGGCGGTGGTGGTGGAGGTGATGGTGATGAAGAAGAAGGCTTTTTAGGTGGTGGTGGTGACGGTGGAGGTGGTGGTGTTGATGAAGGTTTCTTAGGTGGTGGTGGTGATGGAGGTGGTGGTGGTGTTGATGAATATTTCTTAGGTGGTGGTGGTGGTGTGAATGAATGCTTTTTAGGTGGTGGTGGTATCTTGATAGGTCTATGCGGCGGTATCTTTGATGGCGATGTATGATGAGGGTCTATAGGAGGCATAAAGGTTGTGGCAAGAGTGGAGACAAAAATGAGATTAAAAGAGATAATTATTGTGAAAAGAGATACAAGCTCCTTTGAATTCATTTTTAATCTGTTATACAAACCTTCAATAAAACAAACCTATTGTTATAGATTTGTGAATTTGGGTGGCTCAAATGCATTATTTATAGGTGAAAATGAGGCTGTTATTTTTTTTTTTTAAGAGTGTTTCTTTTCTTCTTTTATTATTTAATTAATTTTTGTTAGGGTCTAAATACATCTCTTTAATTAAAGTAATATTTTGTAGGATTTACTTTTTAATAAGTTAACTTCTCTATATTAATTCACACTGCCTAATTAATTTATAACTTTTGACTTTTAATTGAAGCTATACTACTAATATTACTTACACATATTGCTTCTACATACAATACATATAGTGACTACATTGATTTTTTTGGTGTTCTGTTACCTAATTTCTTAGATGATATTTGTTTTTGGGGGTAATGAATAGTTCTCTTGAATTGAAATAGAGAAAGATATTTTTTTAATTTCTATTCAAGTTTTTTATTGTGACCTAATTCAAATACTCTCTTGATTATTTGTGTGTTTTTGTCCGTGTTTTTTTATTTAACTTTACTAAAGTGCATTGTTAATCTATTTACCATGATAAACAATATTTTGTTGTGATTTGAACTTATCTAAAAAAGTTGTTTTTATTTATTTATATTGAGAACTAAAATTGTGGTCTTTAATAAGTTATTTGTGAACTTGAAATAGAGTGAAAGAAATGTGAAAAGGAAAATGAAAAAAAAAATGATGGTCCGTGAATTTGAATAGGTGGTTGATTTTTTTTTTCATAAAAAAAATCTCATAAAATATATGAACAAATTCTTTATTTTTTATATTCTCCTAATCTAAAACTATTCCTTCTCATCTCCATTAACTTCATTTCTTCACCCAATTATTTCTTTTTCGGACGAATTCGCATTGCTCTCTCTATGTGAAATCATTTCTTCATCTAATACGTCTTTAATTTTTAATTATAATTTCGTGTTGGATTATAAAAAAAGTATTTGTATTAGGTCAAAAATAGTGGTACGAGTGATAGAGATATCACATCTTTATATAAAATTTTAAATATTAAATTTATCTATATTTTTTCTTACTTATATATGGATCAATCTTTACTTTTTCAAACAATAGTATGAGACTTTAAGTTATACTTATATCACAATAATCTCCCCTTTAAATATGAATTTATCTGATTATATGTTCCTCTCAAGAAAGCTTTTTCTTATCAACATGCACTTGTATTGTTATTGACATTCGCCTTAATAACTAGACATAGACATGTCACATGAACACCACCTTGTCTAGAAGATTTTTGATACAAAGCTGATAAATTAGTTGAATCATATGCTTTGATAATCTTTTGGGTCATTGTCATTCGAAAAAATATTATTCGATTATGATGGGTGTAACCATAGTGATAGAGACACATCTTCACATAAAATTTTAAAACATTAGATTTATAAGTCCTCTAACTATTATATATTGTTCAAGCGTCTACTTTTCTAACCAACATAAGACTTCTAATTCACATTTGTATAACAAAATTTCAAACTTAAAATAATACATAAATATATTTTGTTACAACAAAGACGATGATCCATAAATTATATTAAACAAAATTTGTATTATAATCTCTTCAAAGAAAAGAGAACAACCAACATCATTGTCACAAATTGTTCTTTCTTTTTTTTCATCCTTATTTTTTATTCACCAAATTCATATATGGTGTTGAAGTGTGAAATAGAGATTGACGAAAAATGATCAATCCCTGTTATTCGTTAAGCTTGAGAGCAAAAGAAAAGGACACCATATTATATGTTAATATTAGTTAATTGATAAATAGTATATAATAATATTAAAATATTTAATAAATAATTTATATTTACAAAATTAATATTAACACTATTATGGAAAAGTCATACTAAAACAATTGAAAAAGGGATACCACAACGTCTCACCAATTATTGTTAGGTAAGGTGTGATTGTATGTCAGATGCTTTTCACAAGGTCGTGAGATCGTGATGATAAGGCAGGACGTGCGATATCTATCACAACAGTTATTCTTATCAACCGTTGTGATATATATATATATATATATATATATATATATATATATATATATATATATATATATATATATATATATATATATATATATATATATACATGGGTGTGTGTATGTGTGTGTGCGCGCGCGTTCAGTTTGAAATCCAGCCGCAAAAATTTATTTGGAATATAAATAACATTTCATCATGGTTACAATAAATAACCGTTGTGGAAAGTATTCTTATCAACCGTTGTGATATATATATATATATATATATATATATATATATATATATATATATATATATATATATATATATATATATATATATATATATATATATATATATATATATACATGGGTGTGTGTATGTGTGTGTGTGCGCGCGCGTTCAGTTCAAAATCCAGCCGCAAAAATTTATTTGGAATATAAATAACATTTCATCATGGTTACAATAAATAACCGTTGTGGAAAGTATTCTTATCAACCGTTGTGATATATATATATATATATATATATATATATATATATATATATATATATATATATATATATATATATATATATATATATATATATATATATATATATATATATATATATATATATATATATATATATATATATATATATATATATATATATATATATATATACACATGGGTGTGTGTATGTGTGTGTGTGCGCGCGCGTTCAGTTCAAAATCCAGCCGCAAAAATTTATTTGGAATATAAATAACATTTCATCATGGTTACAATAAATAACCGTTGTGGAAAGTACTTAGAGTTTATTATATATATATATATATATATATATATATATATATATATATATATATATATATATATATATATATATATATATATATATATATATATATATATATATATATATATATATATATATATATATATATATATATATATATAGTTTATTTTTCCATACACCTCACAGAAGAAATACAACCATTCAAATTGACGAAGAAGTATATAATCTGAAAATTAAACTATTCTTGAAAACCAACTTAAATAAACCATTGTTTTTCGAATTGCATGTCTGTCATAATTCATTTTATGCTCTTTAACATATAGAATGTGGTTCAATGATATAAGTCATGCAGGGCATCATTCCTTCGAGTCTAGTTTAATTTGAATAACATCAATTTATTGGCCAAGTCTACCTCATCATTGTTGCTTATCATCAGAATTGTTATGATGACTTATCATCATAACAATCACGATGATAAGTGATGATGATGACACTACTACAAATATCACATCTAACGTTGGTCGCGAAATGCATTTTACCCCGGCATCTAAAGCGAGGTAAATAAGATTGTCATGAAAAGTAAATACTTATCACCCCGGTGTTTCAAATACTGAGGGATATTTTAATAGCACACGGGTTCGATCCTCAACGGCTGCATTTTTGTTATTTACAATAATAACACCTCATGTATCTCAGTTTATAAATAAAACAGAGGGGGAAATTATTAGTATTTTTTAAACTGGTTACATTACTTACAAATAAAATTAATAAAATAATTTATTTACAAAATACAATGTTTATCCATAATATTAAACTGGTTACATTGTTTACACAGAATATCAATACAAAATATAAGTTGTCCATGAAGAGCATATGTTGGATCTTAAAATCCTTGATATTCTGGAAAAATAAAATGCTGGGAAACAATATATTCTCAATTATTTTTCCTTGCATTTGTTTCTGATATTAACAAAATTAAAAAGGTTAGATAAATAAAGGATTACATGAAAAAGGGTAAGATAAATTAATATTTAAGTACACAAATCTTAAACGCAAATAATTTTTTGCTCTTGTAATCCATCATAGAGAACACTTCATAGAGAAGACTCTTGCATATCTTTAAGTGGAGGATATTTTCAAGCGCTTCATAACATTTTATTATCAATTTTTTATATTCAAAATGCTTTTATAATGAAAGTTAACCTAGGTTTCACGCGGATCACTAATGATAGTGTCTTGAGCGTTGGTAGTTATGAAATGGACGACAAGGATTTAATTAAGGGCGGTGACAAATATCATCAACTTTAATGCTATAATATTCCCTCGATTTTGAGAAAAACCGAGGTGGAAATAATTTTTTTGTTACATTGTTTTCAAAGAATACCAGAAAAATAATATTACAACAAATTCCCACTACTTCTTTAGGCTTACTGAATTTAACAAAAGCATAGCCTTTATTCAACTCAGTTCTGCAAATTAATAGTAAACCACACAACATCAACAATCATCATTATTTTTAACATATAAACACTCAATGTTTTAGATAAGGAATTTGATAATGTACTTGACATCTATCGACATGTAAACAAAATCATAGGAGAAAGTGTTTTCAACAACAGATCTTTGGTGAAATCCATATTTTATTGCATATCTTTATGTTGCGTATCCAAAAAAATACTCCATAACTTATCCATCTTCCGATAAGTTATTTTAATTTCTGCACTTGTAATTCATCTCAGAGATATGTTCTTAAGCATTTATAGATCAAAATTTTTTCATGGCAATGGACAGTAGTATCTAGTGCGGCTACATATAAGTTAGAATTAGGGTTAAGTCTGATAAATTAAGGTATTTATAGTAAAAGCTGATTACTTTACCCCTCAAATTTAACTTAAAACAGAGGTATATTATCTTCTGATTTTATCTATCACCTTGGTCTTTTTAAAAAAATTGAGGTGAAATATATATTTTTTAAACTTACATTGTTTACAAAATTTATTAAAATAAATAGTTTAAAAACAAATCTTTAAATAGTTAAACTCCATTCTTTGCGTAATTTTCGAAAAGAGAAGCGAGCTTAACTTCCTTCATTGTCTCTTTTAAGGGAGAAT